CAGACTGGCATATCTTCTGAAATGCCTTCCACAGGAGAACCAAGTCTACCTTGAGGAAAATGCATCAACAGTGACATCATATATCAGCAAATGTGGACTTGTGCTACGAGATCTTGCGAGACCAAAATGTGACGAGGTTAAAAAAACTGCCTCATGAGATGCAATGGACATTTTTCACTTGCTGTAAAGCCACACAATAATTTTCTCATGCAATGAAAAACAAATGTATGACTGATAAAGACAACTCGCGGAGTGCATCAACTCCGCCCAGCTGATGGGATACAGGCATTCGCCAAGATAGTAATCAAGTGAATCAAGTCCACACAGTTGTGACGAGCGGTAACATAGCTGGTAGAATTTTATTATGTCAACATCTAAAATCTGAGGAGCAACTTTGCTCTGTTTCGAACCGTGAGCTGCACTTTATCAAAGGTGCTGAAGTTAACGTTAGTTAACGATTTGTGGTGAGATTTCTGTTGATCACATGTGCTGTCGGTTAGTTTTGGTTTCACATGCAACATGCAGTCCCAAACTGAACTGAATTAAAATTAATTAATTTATCATTGAGGTGAAAAGGTGCCACATGCACATTTAAAGAGGATACTTCCCAAAAAAAAAAAAAAACAAAGACACAAAGAGGAGGGTTGATCTATAGGAGAAAGAGATCTGAAATCAACACAGAATGCCTGAGAGCTGCACTGACTTAGATTCTGTTCGGTTTATATTTTGCCTGTCACCTGAATTTTGTGTTTCCCAGTTCCATAAATAAAAATATTTCAGCCATAAATTGGTATAGAACAATTCACCAGAATGCAGGAAATTAAGGGTTTAATGCTCAAAGTTTTCATAAAATTCAGCATTGAAGATTTCTTAAAAAACAGTGTTAAAATCATCGTCTCCATGTGAACACAATCTCGTGTCTCGTCTCGTGGATTAAGTGTCTTGTGACAACCCTAATAAGCACCCAAGATGGAAGTACAAAAATCAAGGTAAATTATGAAATCAATAAAATCTGAGAAAGTCAACAAAATTGAGCTGGCAAATCTTCTGAAAAGCTTACCTGACTCCTGTCTGCTGCGTGTCTAAAAAAGCGTGTAAACAAGCAACTGTTCACGACACATTAGCAATATAAACTTATAAACTATAAGGCGGTAATATGTCCATGTTGTGTTTGCATCTCGTTATGTCTACCCAAGTGGCCAAATAATGAATTCATGCAGCTTGAACAAAATTCCCTGTCTGTGCCCACCACGGCATTCCATATTTAGGAAAAACCCTACACCATTGACTCAGCTGTAGTAACAACATTAAAAGACAATATTTTCTCAAAATACAATGTTACCCATTTTTAAAGGCCTAAACATCAATCTTTTTGTAATGGAAGTTGGAGAGCCCCAATATTTCCTGTGCAGGTTTTGGTTGACTGTTGTCTAGTAATAATGCAATTGGAATAGTATGCCATACAGGATACAATATTAATGATTTTTGTGTCATGATCTCAGGAGGTCAGAAGGTTGGCTAACATAACTTGACAGTAATAGGCTACTTTAATTAACTCAAACTTGAAAGATTAGTTCAGCAAAGTTATTTTTGAAGTAGAAATCTAGGTTTCATGAAGCTATCTCCCCTCTAGCTGTGTGTGTGTGTGTGTGTGTGTATTGCGGGGTCCCAGCAGCAGATATTTCCGCTACGTGAACCTGTTTAAAACAAACCTCTCAGCGCTGAGGAGGATGTATGTTGAAGGTGAGAGCGCCACACCTTGCCAGGCCACAGAGCTGGCCTGTTGGCCACCTAACACTCTCTCCAGAGCCTGAACATTAAACAGAGCCAGGGAAAAAACACTCCACATTAGGATTTCCTGTTTCCTGGCCCCTCACCCACTGACCAAACTAGCTGCTCTTTGTCTGACTACATAAAGGGATCTTTTAATAATAACCAGAGTACGTAAACCAATGCAACATTGTTTGTTCCTTTAGGATATACCTTAAAACTTACAGCCCTTACCAAACCGCATTATTTTTTTCTTATTTTCATAATAGCTAGAACAGCAGCTACAAGTGTTGGAAGGATAGTATCCCCCTTCTGTATCAATGTGGTTCAGTCACCTGTGTCCCATGTGAAAATGTAATGTATAATTTAAGGAAAAACCACAACAAATTTTTTATGAAGTTTGGGGTCCCCTGTTAGAAGCTAGTTGCTCAGATAAGTGGTTCCAAAACCATGGTTTGGGGCCCTCCAGGCTTTATATAGCTAGTGAATATTTGACAATGTGCAGATCAAAACATTCAGACAAATACAAATATTAAGTTAACATAATAATACAACACTTTTAAAATCAACTGAAGAATTTAATAATTAACATTATTATATACTGTATATTTTAGGTATCTGATCAAAACAACATCAGTTGTTGCCTTGGTATATAAGCGCTACTATTAAACAATTCTTCCCCAAACATTCTGCATCTTAGGATGATGGTGAAAGATATGAAAGATACTGACTAGTTGATTTTTCAATGTCAGTTTTCAATAAAAGCCACAAAGCAACTTCTCCATTTGTAGGTCTATATTCATAAGCTTGACTTGAGCACACATGTGAGCTCATGCCAGTTTACAAAGGGGAAATGAGTGGTTAGCCATGTGATCTTGGTCATTTCCACCCTCATGGATGAGGTCTCCATCCAGCCACACAGACAGGCTTTTTCATGCATTCCTCGGATTCCACGTCCGATGTGTGTGTGTGTGCGCGTGTGTATGTGCCTCGCTCTGAATTGGCCGTAAAAAAAATAAAAAATAAAAACAGATGAAGCTTTGCCTGTGACATAGCTTTCTCTCCCTCTTTTCCTGAGAGGTAGTCAGCTGCATGTGTTCGACAACTTAATGAAGAAATCAAGGGTGGAAAGTCAACTTAACACAGAAGTCAGTGGATCTGCCGGTTCTAGTAAGGCCAACCGGCCATCATTTGAAATGGGATAAAGTAATTACTTGCCCGCATGATTTTCTTTCTGTATCCTGTTGTATTTACAGTCCCATCAGGTGGGACACACACATGGAAGCTTTCAAATGTTTTGTAAATGTGGGTCTCATTTAGTTTAGCTTCTTGTATGTCTGCTTAGCTAGTTAGAAGAAGGCGTTCGCATTTAAGAAGAAGTTTGGTTACTTTTGCTTACTGAAAATGAAATGAGACAAGTTTACAACCAAGCCATCAGACAAATTCTAATGGCAACATGCTCATGATGACAAAGTTAACATGGTGATATTTACTATAGTGGATTTAACATGTAGCATGGTCACCATCTTAGTTTATTGTTTCAGCCTGCTAAACTAAACCTTTGTCAATCAGCACACCTTTGTCAATCAGCACAACACACAGTGCAATTAAAATATCAGCACTACTATTTTGAAATTATAGTCGTAATAGTAAGGAGCCAGAATTTGCATTTCATGTTCTCTCCTGCAGACACTGTGCTGTCCCTTTTCCGCTATAGTCAACTCTGCTCAAGATCTGACTTCAGTTATAACTGAACAAGTTCTAACAGGCCAAATGCTTACTTATAAGAGCTGAGGGGCGCAGCTTCCATCTTTTCAGTGTTCTTTTTCCCCCATTTCAGTTTGATAGGTGAAAGAGTGAAAACGATTAGAAACTGCCAGTCACTGTGGCTGCCAGCCAAATACAGCAATTTCCCACTTTGCCTATTAAAGTGACACAGTTCACCAATTCAGGATAAAAGTTCAGAGGGTTGGGCCTTTTCAGCAATAATCCTATTTATGTCTATTATTTAAAAGTGAGATCAAAGTCCAAATGACCATGACAGTGACGTTAACCTGGGTTAATAAACTGTGCTAAAGTCAACAGATGGGCGGGGCTGGTGGGCGCTGCTCCAGCCGTGATTTCTACTGAAATCAAGCTTCCTGACAACTATCTCCAGTCTTTTCACACTGAAAGTTGAGCTGAATATGAAGTATGGAAGCCCAACAGATCCACAATTATTATTTGATTAATGGATTAGTTTTGACATTATTCTGCAACTATTTTGATTTGAACTGCAACGGTTAGTTGATTAATAGACAAACAGAAAACTATTTTGATAATCAACAGGTGATTTTCAGTTTTTAAGCAAAGATTTTAAGTTCCAGATCCTCAATTGTGAGAATTTTATGATTATTTTACCTTCTGCAACAGAAAAGTGATTATCTTTGGGTTTTGACTTGTTGGTCGGACAAAAAGAGATATTTGCAGATGTCATGTTGGGCTTCAGGACGTTGTTATAATGATAGTGAGATAATAAAATAATGGTTAGTTGCAGCCCTAATACTGTAATTTCACAAACATTACCTGGTTTTAGTTTCTCAAATGTGAAGATTTACAATTTTCTCTGTTTCACATCACTGTGTATTGAATAACATTAAGTGTTGTACTGTATGTCTGACGACACAGATCCTAAAGAAATGACAGAAATTGAATACCGACTTTACAAAAAGGGGACAAACTAACTATGGTAACTATAATGACTAAAGTAATACTGTAGAAGACAAGAAACAGCTGTAATCAGAAGAACACATTTTCCCCACAAGAAATTAAGGTGTTTCTGACCTTTTGGGGTCATGTAGGGGAACTCTGGATCAATGGTTTTAAAATGAGTACAACAATTGTCAGAGAACAGATGAATTAAATAAATACTCAAAATATCCAAATTACACCAAAGTTTTTCATGTTTTCTGGTCTCTTCAAAAATGATCGGGGGGGCGGGGGGGGTTCATCAGATGTTTGGCCCATGGTTTTAAAAGTGCTGTCCACTGCCCTGCTTACAATCGGTACTACCTTTGTCACACTAGATGAATACTGATATCAAAAGAAGTGCCAGAGAGACACTCACATCCTGGTAAAATGACTAATTGTGTAGGATCTGTAGGCAGTGGCGCCGGGTAACATAAAAACGCACATGTGGCAAAACGCCAAAACAGCACGCACCAAACAAACCTCCGCAAAACGTTCCTCACCTGTGATAATCTCCCGTTTGGCTTCATCCAGGTGACTGGAAATGACGTCCCCCATGTTGGATGAACCTCAAAGCCCCAGACTGACTGGTCTACAACTAGTCGTTAAAACAGACGCGGGAAAATCCGTTCAGAGAAATGTTGACTCCTGAAGTAGCCTTCTCACCTCCTCTCCAACATGCCCTAACTGAGCAAAGTTTAGAGAACAGACGGCCAGCAGCAAACACTCAAGGAGGTACACCAAGGAGGTTGGGCTGGGTGAGCTGGCAGAGTACAAACTGACGGTGTCAGTGAACACACCCTCTTTAAAGAAAAACTCCCTCCTTCCAGCCGCGGTGCGTTCAGGCTATGTGGGAAAAGTGGCAGACACGAGCTTCAGAATTGAAAATACCTCTTCACCAGAGACCCAGGTTAAGCAGGTTAATAATCTGGAATCCAATGATGCGTTCAAGTCACGGATTTCCTTTTAATTATTTGAATTCATTTGAAATAATTTTGAGCTTGGTACTGTTGGTTAGATGTTGGTCAGATGCTTTATGTTCTGGGAAATTGTGATGGCGTGTTTTCACTATTTCCAGAGAGAAAAAATGAGCTCCCCTCAACAACAGTAAAATCACATGTTTCCATTATTTGCATGAGTAACAGTCAGAGGACATTTCTCTTTCTAAAATGGGTACTTTTACTTTTAATACTTAGATTTTTTTGAGTAGGCCTATACTGAGTGGTACTTCTACTTAAGTTAATGATCTGCTGAATACTTAGTCTGACAAACACACACACATATAACTGATCAACTTGAATTATTACTTGTGTGTTTGCCATGTCAGAAATTGCTTACAAAGCCATACTAATAGTACTTTTTTACTTTTGATACTTAAGTATTTTTAAAAGCAGGTACTTTTGTACTTTGACACAAATCTAAATGTAAATTGAAGACCTTTACTTCTAGTGAAGTAATATTTAGCAAGAGTAGCCTATCTGTACTTTTACTGTAGTGCAGGATTTGAGTACTTTGTCCACCACTTGTTACTCGTTAACTGTGTTCTCATCTAAGTACCTCACATTGGTTGGTAATCTACAACAGACAGTAAATGTAGCATTTTTTTTTAAGTTTTCAAATTTTGGGGCATTATTAACGTTTTCCTGAATAACTTTCATGCAGAGTGACTTGCTGACATACATTTACATGCAGAAAAGGATTTACAGGTTCAAACTTTATGTTACCTTTTAGATGATGGTTTACAATTTACAGTATGCACTTTCATGGGTGTTGCCATTGTGGTGTGACATCAGACTGCTCTTCATGCTTTTCCACAAGTTTACAAATAGGAACTGAGTGGGGTTTCTTTGTACTTTATCTAGTTGGAGGTTGGAAAACTTTGCGTTCTGATTTGTCTGAAATGAAGCATTCTGAGATGGGGAAACTCCAGCTTTGGTTCCAGAACAGCTGATCTGAGTTCAGTCAGCTCTAAGTAATCACTCTGAGTTAAGCATGTGCTGCGGAATGAAAAAACAGCCATCAAGAATGGAGCTCTTATACTCTTATACAACAGGTAAATAAAGAATAGCCTCTGTTTTAATCCACACGAGCTACAAATATAAATGCAACACACAGCAGCACAAAGCAAGTTCCACTGTAAAACTGTCCCCCTCTCACTGTCTGAGTCTGTCAGTTCAACAGGTTCCTGTGGTGTGCTTTGTCCTGTCTTGGTTGTACTCTATCTGCCCCTATTTTGACTCTCACTGTCCCTTTTAATTTGTTGCAGCTCCATTTCCCCTGTAATCATTAGCTCTTTCTCATCATTATTCTCCTCACCATCCCTATTTTTGCTTCCAGCCACCATGGGGAGCTGTCCTGTCCTGAAATGGATTGGCTGTTAATGGTAGTGGGTCTGCTCTAGACCCCTTTGAACCGTTTTCATCTCTTTCCCTGCTTTCATCATTCACTATCTCCACTTTCTTGATAGATTCCTTATATATGTCTCCCTATTTCCTAAACCAACTTAACACTTGTCTTTTCCCTACACTTTTGTCATTGGTGGCAGACACATTTGGGGTGGGGATGTGGATAAGAGACATGCCTTTGCTGTGAGAAACACTTGTTAATGCATTCTAGAATTTGCTTTTTATGTTCTGGGTGTTTTCTGCTCAGCATTGCTCTGGTGGTTTCCCCTTCTGTGTTGTTTTTGAGTTTCGCTGTCTCTTTGTCAAGTTCTCTAGTTCTGATCAACTACTATTTTACCGACAGCTGTGTCTGATTTATAATACTTCCCACAGAATAATAGAAAAGTCAGTCTGTATTTTCATGTTTTAGATTAATCAGTTGTGCCTACTCCAACGTTTGAGAGGAATGTGCCCCCCCCAGCTCATTGACAATGTGTAGTAGTATTGTTGCAAAACCAGTGAATTTCATCCGTTCACAAATGAAACCAATTTGGGTAACCATCTTTGAATGCAATCATTTCTCTTTCAGTTGATCTACTGAGTTTTCCTTCTGCCTCTATTGGTTCCAATCAGATTTTTGTCTAATACTGTCCAAGATAAATCTTACACTTACTTTACCATATACCGTTAAACATATACTCCACTCCGGCTCTAACTTGTATTCTATTGCTGTTACTCCAAAATTCTTTCTTTACTTTCTTTCCCAGAAATGTATTGCCACTGGCAAGTTAAGGTTCTTGTTCCTCTCTTGTTTTTTTGAATCGTACTCACGGTTTCAATACCCCCTTTAATATATGAAAACATTAAAAACCGCGAATACAAGAGCCATACCGTCTCAGACGTCACCCGGGTCAACAAGATCCGTGTCAGCTGCTAGGGATCCAGGGCAACCTGATGACAAATGTTCTACTGGAACAAGACATTCATGGACTAGAGCAGAAAATATGGATCTGATGCAATGCTACTATACAAGCAATCCCGGTGAGAGGGGTTATATGCAGAGACTGTGGGATATATGGATGCTTCGAAACCCATTATCAACACTGATCCTAGAGATGCTTGGCTATAAGATGAACACCACAAGCCACAAAGAGCATTACCCCCCATGGAGGAGAAGGCTAGAGGCCAAGATCAAGGCAACACAAATAGAGGTTAGTCAGCTGTCAGAGCTAAAGAAAGTTGCAAGGAAGGGGCTACCTAAGAAATACAGCAAGCTGTCGATACCTGTCAATATCTGCAGACTGCCAAACAAAGACTTACCGCTCTGGCTACCTGCCTAAAGAGATACAAGGGAGAAGAAGAAGCCAGGAGAATAAACCGGATGTTCTCCACCGAACCATCCAAAGTGTACTTTCAGTGGCAGGGTAATAACACAAGATCAGATCCACCCAGGGCTGAGACTGAACAGTACTGGAAGAACATATGGAGAAAGAGGCATCCCACAAGACCAATGCACAGTGGGTAGTGGATCTAAGAACAACTCACGGCAATCTCCCAGAACAAGATACAGTAACCATTACAACGGCAGACATCCAAGAAATAGTGGCAGATATGAAGAGCTGGACAGCACCAAGCCCTGACATGATCCACACCTACCAGCTGAAGAAACTAACTGCACTCCATGAATGCCTGGCAGCACAAATGAACCAACTGCTGATGGATGGGACCCACCCAGAAGGGTTAACCCAAGGACTGTTAGGAGTGTGGTTTTGTTTTCACGTCTTTCCTGTTTTAGTCTGTTTTTGGTTCTGTGTTTCTCAGTGTAGCCTTGTTTATTATTTTATTCATTCACATGTCCTAGTTTACTTGGTATCTGTTTTCATGGGTTTGATTTTGGATTCTGTGTTTCTACAGCTTTATTTGATCTTGTCATGTTTAGGGTTTTGTAGCTATGTTTAGTCCTTTGTTCATTCGCATGTTTAAGTTTTCTTAGTATCTGTCTTGTCTCGTATTCTAGTTATTTCCTGCATTTGTATTCGTGTCTTAGTGTCTACTCCTGGTCTGTGTACTTCTGTATTATTTTGTCCATGTTTGCTCTGTGTTCTGTTCAATCTTAGTCTGTTTTCCCTGTTAGTTGTATTTTTTGGTATATTAGTGATCTGTCTGCCTATGTTCTGGTTCAGTTATTTATATTCTGTTTCTTCCTGGTTATTAATTTTCCTATGGCTTTATTGGTGTCTGTCTGTTTCCCCTGCTGTCTCTCTGCCTGCCTGTGACTCATTAGTCCTGATCCCCCTCACCTGTGTTGCTCCCGCCCTGCTCGTTAGTCTCTGTGTATATATATGCCTGCTTGTGTCTTCAGTCTTTGTTGTTGAGTGTTCTCCTGTGCTTTGTTCTCTGTGTTTTTGGATCTTACCTTTGGATAGTACTTTGTTCCTTGTTTGTGGATTTTGACTGTGGATTATGTTTGTGTTTGAAATGCCTTTGTTTGGACTCTTGCCTCAATCTCCTGTGGAAGCCTGTTCGTATTGTCTGCATTTGGGTCCACACCTCAGTCTGCACTCAGCTTACCCATCACAAGGACGGACAGTCCTGATCATGAAGAATCCCCAGAAAGGAACAATCCCATCCAACTACCGGCCAATAACCTGCCTCTGCACAACATGGAAGCATCATCAGGCATCATAGCGATGACAGGAGATGAGTAGGCACATGGCTCAATACATGGATAGGGCCCAGAAGGAAATGGGAAGTAATACCAGGGGAGCCAAGCACCAGCTACTGGTTGATAGAGCAGTCACTCGATGCTGCAAGACCAGGCAGACCAATCTGTGCACCGCCTGGATTGACTACAAGAAAGCCTACGACTCACTGCCACATACAATTCAATTCAATTCAGTTTTATTTATATAGCGCCAAATCACAACAAAAGTTATCTCACAGCGCTTTTCATAAAAGAGCAGGTCTAGACCATACTCTGTGATGATATTTACAGAAGCCCAACAGTTCCCATCCATACATGGATACTAGAATGCTTGGAAATGTACAAGATCAACAAGACACTAATAGCCTTCATCAAGAACTCAATGGGGCTGTGGAAAACAAGTCTGGAAGTCAACTCAAAGCCAAATGCACAAGTCACCATCAAGTGCAGCATATACCAAGGCGATGCACTATCCCCACTGCTGTTCTGCATAGGCCTGAACCCCCTCATCCAGATCATCACAAAGACTGGCTACGGATACCGGTTCCGAAGTGGAACAACCATCAGTCACCTCCTCTACATGGATGACATCAAGCTGTATGCCAGAAATGTGCGAGACATCGACTCACTGATCCACACTACCAGGATCTACAGCAACGACACTGGAATGTCGTTCGGACTGGACAAGTG